GCTTTGCTAATTTCCAATAGTGTAAAGGGGGCTTGTAGGTGGCTAGAGAGTCTGGGAGGAAGTGAGGAGGGGGGAACATGTGCCCAGAACGAGGGATTTGACACTACCGGGGTTGCTCCGCAGTAGAGAGACTGGAAAAATCTAGTGCATTCCGCGGTCATGGCTCGAAGGCCAGAGGTGGTCTGACCGTCTGGTAGCGTAAGAGAGGTGATTAAAGAGTCTTTAATGCGGGAATTGAGGCCCGCCAGAAGAGAGGAAATCCCCATCTCCCTATGGCCCTCGACCTTGAGCTTTGCCTTAAGAGCGAGCTCAGCGATCTTAGATGTCTCGTATTTTGTAAGTTGCTGGCGGGCTTTGAGGAGTTGAGCGGCTGCCACAGGGTCCAATGGGGAAAGGGCAGATTGAAGCTGGAGAGAGCTAATAAGCTGCACAAGGTGATCAATTGTGCCGGTAACCCGACGACGCTCATGGTTCGAGAACCGTTTGAGACTAAGGGTGAGGGATAGTTTCCAAGAGTTTGCCAATCAAGCTCCAGCCCCATCATCCAAGGGTCAGCATCTAGATCTGAAATGGTCCTTTCGACTATGTCGCCACCTAGGCTAACACCTAGGTTCTTAACTACCGCGGATCCATGCAGCCCCAGCTTACCTGCCTATTACACCGTACGACTGTCAAACCGTCGCCACCTAGGCTGGTTCCCATCATTCGACATCGTTTCGGCGCCAGGTAAGTCGGTTTTCCTCCTCGGTCTGCTTCCGCTGCTCACTTTGATCACCTCGATCTCCTTCGGTAACTCTGCGCCGACATGCTGGGACCAAGTCGAGACTACTCTGGATCACAACCCGCCCTATCTTAGCTTCCTACGCGTTCCCCCTCCTAACCTTGCCTCTCGCCACTCAGATCTTAACTCTCGCAGGTTTCTTCGTTCAACGACCCGGCGGATCTGGCTCGCCTTTCTGCGTTCCGACCTGCTTTATTCACGCTGCAAACGAGGCGCGGCTTTCACGTCGCGCTGCCGCCTAGGGTCTTTCCAGCGCTGCTGGCCGCACCCTGCGGTTCCCGCGCCGCCGCCAACGGATAACCCCCCCCTTCCGCCAGGCTCGCGCTTCGCCTTCCAGCTGCCTTTTTACGAGTTGGGTGTTGACTCGTCGTGCTACCGCACTGTCAGCACCTCACCTTCGGCCTTTTTCTATTTTTGGCAGCAGTGGCAACCGCAGGCCTGCCTATGATACCTCAGCTCCGCATCCTCCCAGGCAAGCGTTCCCGCACACCCCTCTGCCCTTCTCAGTCGATTTTCCCGTCACTGCTTTGCTAAGCGTCAAGGTCCATTGTCTTCCCACTCTTTCCGCAACTTCGTCTTCTCTTTTGCTCCAGTGCTTCCCTCCTTGCCTTGTCATCCCTTCCTATGAGTATTCACTTCGGACTCGGGCTGCTGCTTAGGCTTCCAGTCCTTCCCTGACTCGGGTTGCCACTTAAGCTCCCAGTTTACCCCTGACTCGGGTTGCCACCTAAGCTCCCAGTCTACCCCTGACTCGGGTTGCCACCTAAGCTCCCAGTCTACCCCTGACTCGGGTTGCCACTTAAGCTCCCAGTCCTTCTTCGTGACCCGCTGCGGCCAACGCCGATGCATTCACACGCTCGCTCTTGTTTCTGCTTGCGCATCTTCCCACGGCTCTGGAGGCCCCTCTGGCTCCCTGTCAGCCCCCTGGGACCACCTCGGACTCACTTCTCGTAATCACTTGCCCTCCCTCCCGTGCCTCTCGGCCCCTTGTAACGACTTGTTCCATGCGCCTGCTTGCCTAAAACGCTGTCTCGCACGCCTCTCCCGCCCCCTCGTTCCATTTCCGATGTCGCAGGCTGAGGCTACTCTTCCGCTAATACCCTCTCCTTCCCCCTCCCCCTCGAAGGCTACGATGGTACCTTTGTCTGACTCACCCCTCCCTGCCGAGTTGTGTGATTTCCCTCCCTCAAATGCCCCATCTCCCCCCCCTGCACTCGATGCCCAGGCCGTGAAAACCCCTTTGGCAGGCCTTCCTCCTAACTTTGACCCAAGCTCCCTTTCTCCCCCAGCATCCGACACTGCTGCAGCTTTGACTCACCTCTCACCCCTTCTTCTCAATACCTTTCCCCCTCCTCTCCTCTCGCTCTCGTGCCACTTGTCGGCACGACGCCCCACCGTCCTCCTCCCCCGGTTCTGCCTCCTCCCGCTGTGCTGCCTCCCTCTGGTGCCACAATCCTTGACTTCCCCCGCTTCACCCCGCCTGCGTTCCGCCGCCCTACCCCCCCCGGATCAGCCCCCCCCTTATGCTCCCCATGCATCCCCCCTGGCCCTCAAATTACCCAGTCCCTCTGCTGTTCCTGCCCCCGCTGTACCCTTCTTTGTGGCAGAACAGAGAGGGTCCGTGCCCTTCAAGCGAAACTCCAGAGAGTCGCACTCTTCCCTTCTTTTGGCCTCCCTCAGGCTTGCTGTTTAACTTGTTCGTATCTGCTTATATGTGTCTCTACTCAATTTATACCAACAACAATTACTGTATATACCCTTCGAATGCTTTTCGTCTTCGTTGTGCCCTCGGTCATCAAACAATTTCCCCCCCGATTCGAGAGGTTTTTGGCCCGTGGATCCGTGCACCCTCGTGCGCGGTGGGCTCCCAATTTGCAGCATGTTAACGTCCCTACGCATTCTCTGCCTTAATATCAACGGTATCAATACTCCAGCAAAAAGAAATGCTCTGAAACAACGGCTTTCTGAACTCACTTTTCGAACAGACATCCTCATTTTAGTGGATACACGGCTCTCGCGCAACCTTCCTAAACTATCACTCCAACTCCGCCCGCACTCTTCAGCGCACTCACCCACCCTATACGCACTTGACAAAAACGGCAGACCTTGTCCGCAACCAGGTGGTGTCTCTATCCTCTCTTTCAACAGAGCAGTTTCTCTAACCTCCCCGTCCCCCTCACCCGATGGTCACCTCCTCTCTGTACACATTAACTTCCTACATGAGCAATTGCGCCTCGTCGCTATTTATGCCCCGCAACTCGTTACTGACCGCCGTATTTGGTGGAGAACCGTTCTTACACCGGCACTAGAACAACCCACAGCGGCTGCAGCTACTATCCTCGTTGGCGACTTTAACTCGGTGGTATACCCCTTAGACCGTAATCGCCCCCTGCTCGGCCATGAAATTAGCGAGGCCACCATGTTCTCCACCCTCATGACGACACACTCACTTTCTGACGCATACCGCTCACTCCACCCCTCAAGTCCTGTATTCTCGTACTTTGGTCGTAGAGGCATGACTGGTGCCAATGCATCTATTCCGCCAGCCTCTAGGCTTGATCGAATCTACTTATCTAGCTCATTTCTCCCCCGAGTCTCTGAGGCCTCCTATATCTACACCTCCACTAAGGTCTCTGACCACTCTTTCGCTCCATTTTGCTCCCTTATTTTCAACAACCCGGCCATGGCGCCGCGGCCATGGCGTTTTAGCTCATCCCTCCTTCACCGTCCCCAAGTCGCTGCCATCATTGATACTCATATCTCCTCCCTGCCCTCACGCCTCTCCCCTGAGGTAAGGAGAGGTTGGCGTGGCGGGGCGAGCGGGGACTTGCTGACTGTGATGTGACTTTGGCGCTACAGTGCAGCGTAGGGCACATCTGCCTTTTGTATTGATGGGTACAGTACGGTACAGTACAGTATCGCCTCGCCAGCGCTGCCGAGCTAATGCCTCTCCTCCTCCAAAGCTGGGTCAGTCAGTAGAATCAGAAGGGCAATGACTGCGTGTGAAACTTGCTGACACAGCTTCAGGTTTTCTCCAAGCCGAGGGATAGTGATAGTGGACAGGTCAGAGTCAGACGTTATTATTACCTAGATTTATTACTCGAGGCGAAAATTGACTTCCGCGAAGCTGAGTCATCATGGCAATGATTACAATTGAAACTTTGCTGACACAGCTGCACGCAGGGAAAGCGGAGCCTTACTGGACATTATCAGTCAGAAGATATACTCACAACGCGCGGACACTCTCAATCGATCACGCAAATGTGGTGGGAGTGTCCGCGTCTGAGCTTTCCGCAGTTCCGCCGAGTATCATTTATCCATACATCTTCTTCGGATATTGCTGATTCTAAGAGCCACTACTACTACAAGAATGGCGGGGCGAAGTTTAGAGACTAGGTCATGGGGGTGCGGGTGGCGCGGCGCGCTGGTGATAGTTCTCTTCCTCGTCACGGTCACAAGCCGTTACGGTGACAGTGGCACGGTCGGGGTGCGCGCGAGCGGAGTGGGAGAGGAGCGACGGATGCGCGCGGACCGGTTGCTGCAGGCCCAAGTGAGAGCCGTCACAATTTTTTTTTTTGGCCCCAAAACATGCCCACAAATGTAGCACTCTTATATGATGTATACTACGTGGGCTATGTGTGAACCATGTCCTATCATGCAGAGAGCTATGCTACGAAGGTTGGGTTTCCGATACAACAAAGGGAGCCATCATCAGCAGAAAAAACAAACAGCGTGTAGCAGGTTTAAGACAGGCCCGTTGTAGTGTAAAGTTCGTTCTTAATTCAATAGTTTAGGTTATCTTTTCGTTCATTTGCACATGTTCTTACGCTGACTTTTCCGCGAATCTAGTAGATTCGTGGACAGATTATGAAAGTTTCGAGCCCATCTCAGAAAGAGTTTCAGGCCGTTTTTCAAGAGCGACCTTGCTTCATGCTCCTCTTGATCCGGCTGCTTGCTTTCCTCCTTTGTTCATTGCTCTCCTTCCGTTTGCGTCCTGGCGCCATCGGTGCCCTGTTGTTGTTTCCTCTGCACCTCACTGTAGTCCTCCCAGCCATGAGTCACTGATTACGCTGCATGCCTGCCTCCTTTGCGTACCTCCTTGCATGCCGCGTTTCATGATGTCTCCTCTGTGCTTTCGAAAAACAGTTTTTTTCCCCTATATTTGCCTCCTTCCTTGCTCCACATCACCACCAACCAACCAACCAACCAGGTGAATCGGATGCTGGCGTCGCTCGAAAGGAAAGCTGACGTGGCGTCGCTGTCGCAGCAGCAGACGACTTGCTCGTGCTACCGCGTGCGCAATGATTACTGCTGCTACCAGTACATGTGCAAATGCTCGCCCATGTGCTGGAACGGCTACCAGGTAAACGAGGCTTGTAGGATCGCCATGCAGGCTGTATGGCTTCATTTTGCATGGCTTTCAGGTAGATGCTCAGGTAGATGAGGCTTAAGTCTGTAAGGCTGTGTGGTTACCAGGTAATTTCAGGTGCTTGCATGCCATCAAGTTGCATTGCAGGGCCATGAGGTGAATGCGGCTTGTAGGGCCATGAGGTGAATGCGGCTTGTAGGGCCATGAGGTGAATGCGGCTTGTAGGGCCTTGAGGTGAATGTGGCTTGTAGGGCCTTGAGGTGAATGCGGCTTATACTGCTGCCACGTTGCCAACCATCTCAGTGGTTGATACTATACCACTGCTGCCGCCCCTCCATGTGCATTTGCACTGCCTAGACCCGGCCAGCGACCCGTGCTCACCCCTGCGGACTGTTTTTCCCCAGGCATCCCTCTTTACCCCTCTTAACCCCACCACGCCAGCTGATTTCTCTGGGTGAGCCCAAGTGCGTGGCAGCAACAGAGCACGCACCTCCCCAACCCAGCCGTCTGACTGATTGTTCCTAAACATCCCTCTTCACTCCTTCTAACCCCATCCCACCAGCTCATCTCCCTGGGACAGCCCAAGTGCGCGCCAGCAACAGAGCACGCACCTCCCCCACCCGGCCAGCCACCCGTGCTCACCCCTGTGAGCTGCTCACAGCAACAGACGTTCCGCAACGCTCTCTCAGAGACTTTCGGAGGGGGCCTGGGCGTGCGGAGTGCAGGGGGAGCGGGAGGTGGAAGGGGGGACGGAGGGGAGGGCGGAGATGGGCGCGGAGAGGCGGGCGGAGGGGGAGGTGGGGAAGGGTGGTTGGGGAGCCGTAGCGGTGTGGACTGGCGGTTTGGGCAGACGATGCTGCAGACGCTTATCCAGAGCGAGACCAACATTGCTCACTTCTCTGGTGGGTGGGGTGGGGTGGGGTGGGGTGGGGGTACCATTGGTGGTGGGGACATGGCATCTGATCTGACTATTTGAGTGCTCATAAGCCTCCCCGCTTTGGACTGACGATGCACAACAAGGGCGAGACCAACAAGGGCGAGACCAACAAGGGAGATGACACTGCGGGTTTTATTTAGAATTGACGAGTGGTGTGCGGGATTACTGGTGGCAACAGCTTCACGGCACCCGCTGCTCTGCTCTGCTCTTCAACCTCCCCCATCCCCCCTCCTTCCTGCCACCAAACCTCCCAACCTCGTTTACTGCACAGAAGGTCCTCACGCTGCTTCTTGGACCTTACCCTCTCTGCTCTTGGTCCTTACCCTCTCTGCTCTTGGTCCTTACCCTCTCTGCTCTTGGTCCTTACCCTCTCTGCTCTTGGTCCTTACCCTCTCTGCTCTTGGTCCTTACCCTCTCTGCTCTTGGTCCTTACCCTCTCTGCAGCGCCCACGTGAGGACCTTCTGCTGCAGAGAACCTCTTGGCAGCGTGAAGGTCCTCACGCTGCTCCTGGCCAGCAACTTCACAGCGCCCGCGTGAGGACCTTCTACACTGCAAAGAACCTCTCACGCTCTTCTTGAGGCGCCTTAAAAGTCACTTTTGAGGCGCCTTAAAAATCACTTTTGAGGCGCCTTAAAAATCACTTTTGAGGCGCCTTAAAAATCACTTTTGAGGCGCCTTAAAAATCACTTTTGAGGCGCCTTAAAAATCACTTTTGAGGCGCCTCAAAAATCGCTTCACAGCGCCCGCGTGAGGACCTTCAGCAGAGAACCTCTCCCACGCTGCTCCTGGCCACCAACTTCACAGCGCCCGCTGCACTGCAATTCCTAGACTTGCGTCGTGCCTTGAGGGAAGCAGAGAAGGTCCTCACTCTGTCGCTCGCCTCACCCTGTCGCTCGCCTCACCCTGTCGCTCGCCTCACCCTGTCGCTCGCCTCACCCTGTCGCTCTCTCCCATCTTCCTCGCAGAGAATGTCCTCACGCTCCTCCTGGCCAACAACTTCACAGCAGATCTTGGTTCAACTCGAAACCCCCCTCCCCCCTCTTCCTCCCAACCTCCCTTCCCTTCACCCCCAATCTCCCTTCCGCGCAGAGAAGGTTCTCACGCTCCTCCTGGCCAACAACTTCACAGCACCCGCTGCACTGCAGTCCCCTGTGACTCGCTTCATGCTCTGAGGGATGCTTGCCCCCCTCTCACACTGTCTCTCTGTGCTCCCTGTCCTGTCCCGCCGCTCCCCCTTCCTCCAGAGAAGGTCCTCACGCTCCTCCTGGCCAACAACTTCACAGCACCCGCTGCACTGCAATCCACCGTGACTCACTCTGGCACATGCTACCCCACCTTCCCTCTCTCCTTTCCACCCCTTGCTTACAACACCCAACCTCCACATGCTCCTGGCCAACAACTTCACAGCAGGTTTTGGTTCGACTCGAAACCCCCCTCCCTTGTCTTCCTCCCAACCTCCCTTCTTCCTATTTTAACCAACTTCCCTTTGCAGAGAAGGTCCTCACGCTCCTCCTGGCCAACAACTTCACAGCACCCGCTGCACTGCAATCCACCGTGACTCACTCTGGCACATGCTACCCCACCTTCCCTCTCTCCTTTCCACCCCTTGCTTACAACACCCAACCTCCACATGCTCCTGGCCAACAACTTCACAGCAGGTTTTGGTTCGACTCGAAACCCCCCTCCCTTGTCTTCCTCCCAACCTCCCTTCTTCCTATTTTAACCAACTTCCCTTTGCAGAGAAGGTCCTCACGCTCCTCCTGGCCAACAACTTCACAGCACCCGCTGCACTGCAATCCACCGTGACTCACTCTGGCACATGCTACCCCACCTTCCCTCTCTCCTTTCCACCCCTTGCTTACAACACCCAACCTCCACATGCTCCTGGCCAACAACTTCACAGCAGGTTTTGGTTCGACTCGAAACCCCCCTCCCTTGTCTTCCTCCCAACCTCCCTTCTTCCTATTTTAACCAACTTCCCTTTGCAGAGAAGGTTCTCACGCTTCTCCTGGCCAACAACTTCACGGCACCTGCTGCACTGCAGTCCACCGTGACTCGCTTCCTGCTGCCACGCTCACCACAGTTCATTGAACGGTGAGCAACGCGGGTTTTGTGACTTTTGAGATGCCTCAGAACTTGTTCACGCTGCCTTGCCTTGCAACGAGATGTTTATTGAACGGTGAGCAGCGCGGGGAGTGTGCCTTTTGAAATGCCTCACAGCCCGTTTCACGCTGCCTTGCCTTGCAAAGCGATATTCATTGAGCGGTGAGCAGCGCGGGGAGTGTGGCGAGGTGAGCAGTGTGGGGACCGTCGCAAGATGAGAAGCTGTGGCTGGATCATAAGACAACAAAAATTGAACAACTGAGGGGCGCAGCTGCAATAATGTGAACAACTGAGGGGCGCAGCTGCAATAATGTGAACAACTGAGGGGCGCAGCTGCAATAATGCTCGGGTGCAGATTTCATGTTCGCTCGGCTGTTGAGTCGACTCAAAAGTCATAAACCTCTTTGGTTTTCCATAATCCATCCATCCTTCCATGATCCATCCATCCTTCCATGATCCATCCATCCTTCCATGATCCATCCATCCTTCCATGATCCATCCATCCTTCCATGATCCATCCATCCTTCCATGATTCCGATGCGCGGAATTCCAACGATGGGTGCAGACTCGATGTTCCTGTCGAGTCGACTCAAAAGTCATAGCCGTTTTCTGACGTCCCATGATCCATCCTTCCATCCACACGATGTGCAGAATTCCAACGATGGGTGCAAACTCCATGTTCCTGTTGAGTCGACTCAACCTCCCATGATCCATCCTCCCATGATCCATCCTCCCATGATCCATCCTCCCATGATCCAACCTTCCATCCACACAATGTGCAGAATTCGAACGATGGGTGCAGACTCCATGTTCGCTCGGGTGATGCAGGCCATGATCGAATTCGCCGTCACGCCGCTGCTCGCCTCCCGCGTGCACAACTCTCCGGAACTGTACGTTACTCTGCTGATAGCAAAGCAAGCACACAAGGGAAGATCACATCACACTCATCTAAATCATAGCACTCGCTTGTCTTTTGTTCTCGAGTTTCCACGTGACATAAAAGAAGTGTTTTGAGACGTCTCAAAACCCTTAACTAGATCATCGCACTCGCCTGTCGTTTTAGTCGACTCAAAAGTTGACTTTTGAGTCAGCTCAATCAAAGATCACAATCATCTAGATCATTGCACTCTCCTGTCATTTTTTACTTGAGTTTCCCATCACGCCGTGTCTCTTCCCTTTGCGTCCACAACTCTCCACAACTGCACGGTGTTGATTCGAAAGTAAAGCAAGCACACAAGGGAAGATCACACTCAACTAGGTCATTGCATGATTGCGCTCGCATGATTTTTTCCCCCCATGGAACTCGGGCAGGATGGTGGCTTTAACGGATCTCATTGACAGACAACCCCTCCTTTTCTCTTCAACTCCCTCCTCGCCATCCTCTCGACCACAGGACTCAGGGAGACGCCCCTATGGCGTTCGGGTTGGTTGGTCTATTGCGTCTCGTAATCTATCTCTCCTATGCTCCCCCCCCCCCCCCCCCTCCTTCTCACTCCACAGGGAAGCACTCTTTCCACCACCACCACCACCACCAGCCTCGCTCCCAGGACTCTGAGAGCCACCCTTATGGCATCTCATAGAAAATCACTTTTGATAATTCTCAAGAGTGATCTTCATGTACCCACACACCACCACCACCACCACCACCAGCAGCCTCGCTCACATGCCTCTAAGAGCTGCCCTTGTGGCATCTCGTTGCGCTCATAAACACCGACAGACACGCTCTTCTTTTCTCCCCCCCTCCTTCTCACTCTTGCGACCACCCACACACCACCAGCAGCAGCCTCGCCTCGCTCACAAGACCCTGGCCTCGCTCACAAGACCCTGGCCTCGCTCACAAGACCCTGGCCTTCAGACCCTCGCTGGTGAACGCACCGTGGCCCTTCGGACTAGTTGAGTCTGTATGAATGCATCTCATAAAATCTCTCTTCTTTTCTCCGTCCCCTTCTCTCACGCTCTCTCCCCCCTCACTCACGCCCTCTCCCCCCCCACCACCAGCCTCGCTCACAAGACCCTGGGGGACCTACCAATGTCATTCGGCCTAGTGGAGTTCGAATCCGCATGGAACGCCGCGACCGAATCCCGCCCAGGGTCGTCGCTAGTAGAAATTTTTTGTCTGTTTGCCTTATATTCAGATCGAGTTTTTAGAGTTCATCTGATTTTTCAGAAATTGGTTTTTTGTAATTTCTGATTGATAAGGAGTAGTTTTTTAGTTTATCTGATCAATCAGGTTCTTGTTTTGGTTTCATCTGATACCGAATCCAATTATGTAGGGGTGAATATGGGATTCGAGTTGTGAATGGGCGAATCTGATGCGTCAGGAGGCGAATCTGTTAGTGTCAGGGGGCGAATCTGTTAGTGAGAGGGGGCGAATCTGCTGTGGCAGGGGCGAAATTGTTGTGACAGGGCGAATCTGCTGTGTCAGGGTGACGGCGAATCTGCTGTGACGGGCCGAATTTGCCGTGAGGGGTGATTCTGCTGTGACTCGTCAAGTCCGAATCAATTGCGTCGAGAAACCCATTTGATTGGTCAGACATGCATTTCGAAAATATCTGATACATCAGGCACGGTAAAAAAACAGAATCTGATGGATCAGACGGGCCCGAAGGGCCCGTCTGATGCATCAGGCGCCCTCGAATCCTAGCGACGACCCTGATCCCGCCCCCTCTGCTTCGAAAGCCTCCTCCTCCCTGGCATCTTCAAGGGAATGGTCTTCCCGTCCCACCCCGACCAAGGCACCTACCTGGAGAGACACCTGAGGATCAAGCTGGGGCTGAAGCCTCCGGACAAAATGGTGTGGGGGGCGGATGGGGTGAAGGGGTGGCGGCCGCGGGTGCTGTATATCACACGGCTGGGGGCGGAGCTGAAGGGGCGGCGGTGCTTCGCTCCTGAGAGCCATGAGGCACTGCTGAGGCTCATGAAGGATTTGGATTTTCAGGTGGGTTCCAGGTGGTTTTAGGTGTATTTCAGGTGAGGCAGGTTCGAAGGTGATTTTCTGATAACTCCCGAGTAGGCAAAGCCCTGTATTGATGTCTTGAGTTGTTTGAAAGTCCTGCATTGATGTCTTGAGTTGTTTGAAAGCCTTGCATTGATGTCTTGAGTTGTTTGAAAGCCCTGTATTGATGTCTTGAGTTGTTTGAAAGCCTTGCGTTGATGTCTTGAGTTGTTTGAAAGCCTTGCATTGATGTCTTGAGTTGTTTGATAGCCTTGTATTGATGTCTTGAGTTGTTTGAAAGCCTTGCGTTGATGTCTTGAGTTGTTTGAAAGCCTTGCGTTGATGTCTTGAGTTGTTTGAAAGTCCTGCATTGATGTCTTGAGTTGTTTGAAAGCCTTGCATTGATGTCTTGAGTTGTTTGATAGCCCAGTATTAACGTCTTGAGTTGTTTGAAAGCCCTGTATTAACGTCTTGAGTTGTTTGAAATCCCTGTATTTCTGAACTCTGTTCAGTTACATGTGTTTCTAGACTGTCTCTAAAGGATACACCCACTGAATTGTTATAACCACAGTAGTATTTTCTTTTTTGTAACCAAAAAACACTCAATAACGTGCTTGATCCAGAGACTGCAAGCCCTATTGCATCAAACGAAAGGTGGGCCCTATAACACCTGCAGTTACATGTCCTCCTTTTCATTATGTCCGCTTCTCATTTTCTCATGATCATCGTCTTGCTTCAGTCTTCCCCATCATCCATCCACACATGCCCCATCATCCATCCACACATGCCCCATCATCCATCCGCGCACGCCCCACCATCCATCCGCGCACGCCCCTTCTCCAAACGGTGTTCCTCTCTCTTTCAACGTCTTCCTCTTCTTTTCTTTCATCTTCCAGCTTTTTGTCTCCCTCCCTCATCCAGATCATAAGACATGCCTCATCCAACTTTTCTGCTTCCATCCATCCGCACATGCTCTTTCTCCAGGTGAACACGGTCGACATGGGCCACTTTACATTCCTCTTTCAATGTCTTCCTCTTCTGCTCTTCTGGTCTTCCCCCTCATTCATCCACCCATGCCTCTTCTCCAGGTGACCATGGTCGAGATGGGCCATCTGACATTCCGCCAGCAGTTCGAAGCGATTCAATCGGCCGACATCATCATTTCCCCCCACAGCGCTTCATTCATGAATGTCCCCCTCTTTGCCTGCTGCTCTTCTGTCCACCCATCCCCAACAGGTGACCATGGTCGAGATGGGCCATCTGACATTCCGCCAACAGTTCGAAGCGATTCAATCGGCCGACATCATTATTTCCCTCCACAGCGCATCCTTGATGAACGCGCCTCTTTTCGCCCGACGCAACGTCGTTGTGATTGAAATCATGCCCTACAAGGTGGCGCACGAGTTGTACTACTCGCTGATGCTCAACTCCGGCATGCCTTATTTCCTCAAGATGTGCCGCAAAGGGGACGAGCAGGAGGGCGACGCAGAGTTCAAGGATCTGAACCATTTCGATTGCATGCACAAGCACGCAACGTGCAAGGAGCATCATGTTCACCACCGGCGCGTGAAACTCACGAACCGGGATCTGCAGGATCTGAAAACTATGCTGATGGTGGCAAAGGGTGTGACTGGCGCGAGCTTGGGGGCGTTTGGGAGGGAGATTCAGCCTAAGGAGCTGCCTAGGTGGGCAGAAGAAAAGTTCAAGGATGTGTGTGTTGCCCAAGATGTGGATTGGTCTGGACCGCGGAACGATTTTTTACGGGTGCCCAAGCCAGGTAATGCGGACGATGATTTTATATGTGTATTTTATATGTGTATTTTTTACGGGTGCCCAAGCCAGGTATATGTGATTTTGGCTAGAACTGTTTGCGCCATGATTATAGATCTACATGTCTGTAAGAAAACAACTTTTCCTTACTTCGCGTCACACAACATAGTACGGCGTACAGGTCTATTCTCACCAATGTACACCCAACAGTAAGAGCAGATTCCTACGGCCTTATATCAGGCCAAATTGTATCAAGATTGCACCTTTTGCCTGGTAAAAGTAGCGAGAGGTTTTTCAGTGTCAGCTTGATATGAGGTTCGCTTGATACCGGTACAAGGTTAGGAATACGCTCTAATCGGTTACCACTTCGCAACACTCGCCTCGACACTGTTCCCTGTCTCCCTTGTCAGAACACGCTCTTAACTCTTGACTTAGTAACTTAGGGTTTACCTAGGAAGCGTGAGTGTCGAGAGTGAGCATGGCAAGAGAATTGGGCAAAGAGGGGATTCACTAAGGAATGTTTACAAGATATAGGATAGGGGAGAGGATAGGGTACACCACCAGCAGTTGAACCTAATAACTAACTAATACACTAGCAAGCTGTAGGCAGTTAGGATATGCAATATAATTCAACACACCCCCGTAACTGCCTACGGCTATAGCTAGTGGTGTCTGGCACCAGGTCGCCTGGAGAGCGGTTGCTGTAGCTGGGATAGGCACAGAAACAGCGGTGGCTGAGCGGCAGCACCTGTGAACGCCAGAACGGAGGAGGGCACGGAGAGCGCGGAGGAGGGCTGGGATAGCCGGAGGGCGAAGGATGCTGGTCGCTCGCCATCTACGAGCAAACACAACTGTTGGTGAGGAGGAGGAAGCTGGTGGTGGTGCACAGGAGGAGAGCAGAGGAGATGCGGCTGGAGAGGAGAGAGGAGGAGGAGATGCGGCTATAGGAGAGGAGACTGGAGGAGGAGATGCGGCAGAAGGAGAGGAGAGGAGAGAGGAGGAGATGCGGCTGGAGGAGAAGAGGAGAGGAGAGGAGAGGAGAGGAGAAGAGGAGGAGGAGAGGAGAGGAGAGGAGAGGAGAGGAGAGGAGAGGAGGTGGCTGGCGCGACAGAAGCTTTCCCGCCACCCCCTCACCCCCCTCCCCCCCATGCGCTGGCGCTGGCGGAAGTGCTGGCGCTGGGCGCTGGCGTCGCGCTGGCGCTGGGCGCTGGCGTCGCGCTGGCGCTGGCGCCCGCCGTTGGCGCTTGCGCTAGCGCCCGCCGTCGGCGCTGGCGTCCGCGCTGGCGCTTGCGACCGCCGTTGGCGCTGGCGGTGGCGCCCGCCGTTGGCGCTGGCGCTGGCGCCCGCCGTTGGCGCTTGCGCTGGCGCCCGCCGTCGCCTCGCTGGCACGCTCGCCACTGGCAGAGCGCGACGGGGCAGGCGAAAGGGGGCAGCGCGACGGGTGCTGCAAAAGCAGCGGAGTTCGAGCCAGCAGCGGATTTCGCGCTACTAGCAGTAGCAGCCATGCCAGCAGCACAATAAGTCGCCATGGCAGATCGCGGGTTTGGTGGGCCCATGAAAACGAGGTCCTAGGAGGGACCACTCTCTGATATCATGTTAGAACACACTCTTAACTCTTGACTTAGTAACTTAGGGTTTACCTAGGAAGCGTGAGTGTCGAGAGTGAGCATGGCAAGAGAATTGGGCAAAGAGGGGATTCACTAAGGAATGTTTACAAGATATAGGATAGGGGAGAGGATAGGGTACACCACCAGCAGTTGAACCTAATAACTAACTAATACACTAGCAAGCTGTAGGCAGTTAGGATATGCAATATAATTCAACACACCCCCGTAACTGCCTACGGCTATAGCTAGTGGTGTCTGGCACCAGGTCGCCTGGAGAGCGGTTGCTGTAGCTGGGATAGGCACAGAAACAGCGGTGGCTGAGCGGCAGCACCTGTGAACGCCAGAACGGAGGAGGGCACGGAGAGCGCGGAGGAGGGCTGGGATAGCCGGAGGGCGAAGGATGCTGGTCGCTCGCCATCTACGAGCAAACACAACTGTTGGTGAGGAGGAGGAAGCTGGTGGTGGTGCACAGGAGGAGAGCAGAGGAGATGCGGCTGGAGAGGAGAGAGGAGGAGGAGATGCGGCTATAGGAGAGGAGACTGGAGGAGGAGATGCGGCAGAAGGAGAGGAGAGGAGAGAGGAGGAGATGCGGCTGGAGGAGAAGAGGAGAGGAGAGGAGAGGATAGGAGAAGAGGAGGAGGAGAGGAGAGGAGAGGAGAGGAGAGGAGAGGAGAGGAGGTGGCTGGCGCGACAGAAGCTTTCCCGCCACCCCCTCACCCCCCTCCCCCCCATGCGCTGGCGCTGGCGGAAGTGCTGGCGCTGGGCGCTGGCGTCGCGCTGGCGCTGGGCGCTGGCGTCGCGCTGGCGCTGGCGCCCGCCGTTGGCGCTTGCGCTAGCGCCCGCCGTCGGCGCTGGCGTCCGCGCTGGCGCTTGCGACCGCCGTTGGCGCTGGCGGTGGCGCCCGCCGTTGGCGCTGGCGCTGGCGCCCGCCGTTGGCGCTTGCGCTGGCGCCCGCCGTCGCCTCGCTGGCACGCTCGCCACTGGCAGAGCGCGACGGGGCAGGCGAAAGGGGGCAGCGCGACGGGTGCTGCAAAAGCAGCGGAGTTCGAGCCAGCAGCGGATTTCGCGCTACTAGCAGTAGCAGCCATGCCAGCAGCACAATAAGTCGCCATGGCAGATCGCGGGTTTGGTGGGCCCATGAAAACGAGGTCCTAGGAGGGACCACTCTCTGATATCATGTTAGAACACACTCTTAACTCTTGACTTAGTAACTTAGGGTTTACCTAGGAAGCGTGAGTGTCGAGAGTGAGCATGGCAAGAGAATTGGGCAAAGAGGGGATTCACTAAGGAATGTTTACAAGATATAGGATAGGGGAGAGGATAGGGTACACCACCAGCAGTTGAACCTAATAACTAACTAATACACTAGCAAGCTGTAGGCAGTTAGGATATGCAATATAATTCAACACACCCCCGTAACTGCCTACGGCTATAGCTAGTGGTGTCTGGCACCAGGTCGCCTGGAGAGCGGTTGCTGTAGCTGGGATAGGCACAGAAACAGCGGTGGCTGAGCGGCAGCACCTGTGAACGCCAGAACGGAGAGGGCACGGAGAGCGCGGAGGAGGGCTGGGATAGCCGGAGGGCGAAGGATGCTGGTCGCTCGCCATCTACGAGCAAACACAACTGTTGGTGAGGAGGAGGAAGCTGGTGGTGGTGCACAGGAGGAGAGCAGAGGAGATGCGGCTGGAGAGGAGAGAGGAGGAGGAGATGCGGCTATAGGAGAGGAGACTGGAGGAGGAGATGCGGCAGAAGGAGAGGAGAGGAGAGAGGAGGAGATGCGGCTGGAGGAGAAGAGGAGAGGAGAGGAGAGGAGAGGAGAAGAGGAGGAGGAGAGGAGAGGAGAGGAGAGGAGAGGAGAGGAGAGGAGGTGGCTGGCGCGACAGAAGCTTTCCCGCCACCCCCTCACCCCCCTCCCCCCCATGCGCTGGCGCTGGCGGAAGTGCTGGCGCTGGGCGCTGGCGTCGCGCTGGCGCTGGGCGCTGGCGTCGCGCTGGCGCTGGCGCCCGCCGTTGGCGCTTGCGCTAGCGCCCGCCGTCGGCGCTGGCGTCCGCGCTGGCGCTTGCGACCGCCGTTGGCGCTGGCGGTGGCGCCCGCCGTTGGCGCTGGCGCTGGCGCCCGCCGTTGGCGCTTGCGCTGGCGCCCGCCGTCGCCTCGCTGGCACGCTCGCCACTGGCAGAGCGCGACGGGGCAGGCGAAAGGGGGCAGCGCGACGGGTGCTGCAAAAGCAGCGGAGTTCGAGCCAGCAGCGGATTTCGCGCTACTAGCAGTAGCAGCCATGCCAGCAGCACAATAAGTCGCCATGGCAGATCGCGGGTTTGGTGGGCCCATGAAAACGAGGTCCTAGGAGGGACCACTCTCTGATATCATGTTAGAACACACTCTTAACTCTTGACTTAGTAACTTAGGGTTTACCTAGGAAGCGTGAGTGTCGAGAGTGAGCATGGCAAGAGAATTGGGCAAAGAGGGGATTCACTAAGGAATGTTTACAAGATATAGGATAGGGGAGAGGATAGGGTACACCACCAGCAGTTGAACCTAATAACTAACTAATACACTAGCAAGCTGTAGGCAGTTAGGATATGCAATATAATTCAACATCCCTCCCCTAGTTCAACAGCTTAAATGAAATGTACTGTACCAAACTCGGTACGGTAGTTGTGTCTGTTTTGTTCACCGTTACCATACGATCCATTCATGCTAGGAACATTGGCGTGCTCTTATTGGCTTCTACCGGTATGTGGTTGCACAGCAGCACTAACAAACTCCAGCAGGAAAGAACCACTATGGACAAGCATTCCTGCTAGAGCACGAGGGAGACGGTTTTACTCACTTCACCAGTCATCATCAAAGCAGGTTCTTTCTTTCCGCTTGTGGCTGTTATGTTGGTTATTTTCTGGGGGTGGTTTTCTTGGATTCATCTTTGTACAACAGGTTATATATTTTACAGCACTGTAATGCACTTTACTAGTACCATCACATAATAAAGTGGTATGCCTTATGCTCTATGGTCTAAGCTCTATGGTATCACTGTACCCCATGCCCACATCATGCATCATCACGATCATCCCTCGAAAACACACAAATGAAATCCTCTTCCGGCTTCCCACGCTTGGGCAGCCGTAGAAAATCACTCCTCGATCCAAACAGCTCCACATCTCGGGAAACACACACGTCCTTGAACTTTTCTTCTGCCCACGCGGGCAGCTCATCAGGCTCCACTTCCTTCCCGAAAGCCCCCAAACTCGCTCCGGCCAACCCCTTTGCAACCATCAGCATCGTTCTCAAATCCTGCAAATCCCCGCTCGTGAGCTCCACGCTCCGAAAGTGCACATGGTGCGCCTTGCATGCTGCATGCTTGCGCATGCAATCGAAGCCGTTCAACTCTTTGAAAGCAGCATCCCCCTCCTGCTCCTCCCCCTTTCGGCACATCTTGAGAAAATACGGCATGCCGGAGTTGAGAGTCAGCGAATAGTACAAGTCGTGCACGACCCTGTAAGGCATGATCTCGATCACTACAGTGGAGCGGCGCGCGAGGAGGGGAACGTTCATGAAGGATGCGCTGTGGATGGAGATGATTATGTCGGCTGATTGAAGTGCCTCGAATTGCTGGCGGAACGTCAGATGACCCAACTCGGCCATTGTCACCTGGAGAAGAGGCATGGGTGGATGGATGATGGAAAGGCCAAATGAAAAGAAGGGAAGATGAAAAAAGAGGAAGATGAACGATGAGGAAGATGAACGATGAATGTCAGATGCCCCAACTCGACTCGGCCATGGTCACCTGGAGAAGAGGCACGTGTGGATGGAGGTGCAGGGAAAACCAAAGCACGAAGACGAACGCAAGAATATGAGGAAGTCTTATGAAGAGGAAGACACATAACATGCCAGATCTTTCAAGAGCTTTAGCAGTGCCTCGTGGCTCTCCGGCACAAAGGTGCTCTCAGCCCCCAGCCGCGTGATGTACAGCACTCATCAAGAAGCTATCAGACCGCTTTCGTGTCGATGCAAAAGCTGGAACGCAAGGTGCGTTTGAGTTGACTCAAAAGCACCCCCAGCCGCGTGACATACAGCACTCATCAAGAAGCTAGCTACCATGCAGGAGGAGGAACCCACCTCAAGGTCCAAGTCGCTCATCAGCAGCGCACCGTAGCTTTCAGGCACGAAGGTGCACCGGCCCTTTCAGCTCAGCCCCCGGGCGCGTGACATACAGCACTCATAAGGGAGCAAGCTACCATGCAGGACTCATCAGAAACCCACCTCAAGGTCCAAGTCGCTCATCAGCTTCAGCAGCGCCTCATGACTCTCCGGCACAAAGGTGCGCCGCCCCTTCAACTCCGCCCCCAGCCGAGTGATATACAGCACCCGCGGCCGCCACCCCTTCACGCCATCCGCCCCCCACACCATTTTCTCTGGAGGCTCCAAACCCAGCTTGATTCTTAAGTGCCGGTCCAGGTAGGTGCCTTGGTCGGGGTGGGACGGGAACGCTACCCCTTTGAAGAATCCCGGGAGGAGGAGGCTTTCGAAGCAGAGGGGGCGGGATTCGGTCGCGGCGTTCCATGCGGATTCAAACTCAACTAGGCCGAACGCCATGGGGGCATCGCCTAAGGTTCTGTGCGCGAGGCTGGTGTGGAGGAATGGGTTTGGGAGGGAGGGGGGAGAGGGGGGGAGGAAACAGAAGAGAGTGTTTATGAGGTACGGAGTGGGGCGGGCCTCAGTGGCAGTGTTCCATGCGGATTCAAACTCCACCAGCCCGAATGCCATTGGGCATCTCCCAGGATTCTGTGAGCAAGGCTGGTGTGGGGAGGAGTGTGGGGGAGAACAGAAAAGAGTGCTTATGAGAGATGCGTTAAAAGCACCCTCCTGCTCAAATGCCATGGGGGTGAAAAACCATGTGAGTGCAATAAGTTATCACCGATAACCTTCTGAAGTGTGACTTTCCTTGTGTGCTTGCTTTTGCTGACGGGTCGTCAGCACACAGTACAGATGTGGAGAGTTGTGGATGCGAGAGGAGAGCAGGGGCGTGAAGGCGAATTCGAGTGCACAAGACAAGGCATGTGAGTGCAACTACCTACAAGTGTGAATTCCCCTGTGTGCATCCTTTGCTGTTGGCAACGTACTAGAGTTGTGGATTCGAGAGGAGAGCATGGACGTGACGGCGAACTAGAGTGCAAAGCACCCAACTCGTGACATCTGAGTGCAGTGGTCTAGTGCGTTGCTGAAAAGTTGACAACGTACAGGTGTGGAGAGTTGTGGATGCGGGAGGAGAGAATGGGCGTGACGGCAAATTCGATCATTGCCTGCATTAGGAACGCGAACAGAGAGTCTGCTCCCATCTTTCTGAGCCTGCACATTGGGTGGACGGATGGAAGGGTGGAAGGATGGAAGGGTGGAAGGATGGAAGAATGTATAAGAAGAACCACCATCACACCAGGCGTAAAACCCTCTGAAACCCACCAAGATTAATGACCTAGAACGCTCACTAGTGTTATCTCAAGTGCTTCTTGAAGTGCTTCTTTAGTGTTCTTTCAAACGCTTTCCAGTTTCTCTTCCAAGTGTTTTTGAGTGCTCGAGTGTTTTCCTTCTAATGATCTTTCAAGTATTCTTCCAGGAGTTACTTCCTTTACACGACAACAAGAATCTCCTCATTGCCCAGCTTGCCACAAGTCCTACATGCTCGCCATTCAATGAACTTTTCTTTCGCAAGGCGAAATGGAATGGAACGGAACGGCCTTCGAGCCAAACACTTGAAGCGACTTGTGAGGTGAGGCGCCTCCAAAGTCACAACCCCCACGCGGCTCACCACTCAAGGTCTTCTCATCGCAACGCAGCATGAGGCAACTTTTGAGGAGCCTTTCTAGGCAGCTTTTGAGGCGCTTCAAAAGTCACAACCCCCACGCGGCTCACCACTCAAGGTCTTCTCATCGCAACGCAGCACGAGACAACTTTTGAGGAGCCTTTCTAGGCAGCTTTTGAGGCGCTTCAAAAGTCACAACCCCCACGCGGCTCACCACTCAAGGTCTTCTCATCGCAACGCAGCACGAGACAACTTTTGAGGAGCCTTTCTAGGCAGCTTTTGAGGCGCTTCAAAAGTCACAACCCCCACGCGGCTCTCCACTCAATGAAAAGCTTCTCATCGCAAGGCAGCACGGAACAACTTCTGATGCACCTTCTGAAACGTCTTTTGAAGATTGAAGCGCCTTTCTAGGCAGCATTTGAGGCGCTTCAAAAGGCACAATCCCCTGCTGCTCACCGTTCAATGAACCTCCCATAGCGAGGCAGCACGAAATGACTTCTGAAGCGCCTTTCTAGACAGCATTTGAAGCGCCTTTCTAGGCAACTTTTGAGATGACCTTTTGTTGGGGCAACTTCTGAGGTGATCTTTAGAGGTGAGAATTGAGGCGCCGCAAAACCTCCACGCTGCTCACCGTTCAACAAACATCTCATCGCGCGGCAGCATGAAGCGAGTGACTGGGGTTTGCAGTGCAGCGGGTGCAAAAACCCCCGTTCACTCACCTTCCAGCTACCCCACAGTCCCCACACCCACTGCTCACCGTTCAACAAACATCTCATCCCGAGGCAGCATGAAGCGAGTGACTGGCGACTGCAGTGCAGCAGGTGCCGTGAAGTTGTTTGCCAGGAGGAGCGTGAGAACTTTCTCTGCGAAGAGGGGAGATTGGGAGATGAAGAGAGGTTGGGAGGAAGAGGGGGGAGGGGGGTTTTGAGTCAAACCAAAATCTGCCGTGAAGTTATTAGCCAGGAGAAGCGTCAGGACCTTCTCTGCGAGGAGGGGAGATTGGGAGGTGAAGGGGGGTTGAGGGGAAGGGGGGAGGTTGGGAGGTGAAGGGGGGAAAGTGGGAGGTTGGGTGGCATTCCTAAAGCCGAGTGACTGGGGACGGCAGGGCAGCGGGTGCCGTGAAGTTGTTGGCAGGAGGAGCATGAGGGCCTTCTCTGCAAGGAAGGGAGGTGAATTGGGAGGTGAAGGGAGGTTGGGGGGAAGGGGGGGGATGTTGGGGTGGCATTCTTAATGCCGTGAGGTGATGTAGAGTCCCGACCACACCGACGAGCCTACACTTCTCATCCAAGGGATTCAGAAACCACCTCCCCCACTCCACTCCACCAATGATGCCCACCCATCCACCCTCCCACCCACCCACCCACATACCCGCCCACATACCCGCCCACCCACCCTCCCACCCGCCCGCCCACCCGCTCACCCGCCCGCCCCCCTGCTTGCCCTCCCACCTCCATAGCCCCCCATCCCACCAATGGTCATACCCGCCCACCCACCCACCAGCATAGTGTGCAATGTTAGTCTCCGTCTTGTTAAACGTCTGCAGCATCGTCTGCCCAAACCGCCAGTCCACCCCGTCCCTGCTCCCCAGCCACCCTCCCCCACCTCCGCCTCCGCCCCCCCCTTCCCCTGCACTCCGCACGCCCAGGCTCCCCCCGGAAGTTTCTGTGAAGAAGCTATAGAGAGCGTTGTTGAACTCCTGCTGCTGCGAGCAGTCCACCGGGGTTAGCACGGGGGGCTGGCCGGGATGTGGGGGCGCGTGCTCCGTGGCGGGCGCGCACTTTGGCTGCCCCAGAGAGATGAGCTGGTGGGGGAAGCAGGGGAAATCAGGGGGAGTGGGGGGCGAGTCTCAGGGAAGAAGCTGTAGAGAGCGGTGGTGAACTCCTGCTGCTGCGAGCAGTCCACCGGGGTCAGCAAGGGGGGCTGGCCGGGCTGGGGAGGCGCGTGCTCCGTTGCTGGTGCACATTTAGGTTGTCCAAGAGAAATCAGCTGGCAAGGAATGCAGGGGAAATCAGAGGGATTGGGGGGGGTGGGGGGTGGGTGGGGGGGGGGGGGGTGGTGTTGTGAAGAAGCTGTAGAGAGCGGTGGTGAAATACTGCTGCTGCGAGCAGTCCACCGGGGTCAACACAGGGGGCTGGCCGGGCTGGGGGGGCGCGTGCTCCGTTGCTGGTGTGCACTTGGGCTGACCCAGAGAGATTAGCTGGTGGGGAAGCAGGGGGAAGCGGAGGGAACAGGGGAGAGGGGTGGGGAGATGGGGCAGTGGGAGTGAGCAGCAGTCCACCGGGGTCAACATGGGGGACTGGCCAGGTTGGGGGGGGTGCGTGCTCTTTGCCTGGTGCGCACTTGGGCTGCCCCAGAGAGATGAGCTAGTAGGGAAGCAGAGGGGACAGCACATGGCGAGCATTTGCACATGTATGTACTCGTGGCATGGCAGCAGTGGTTACCTGGTAACCGGACAGCCTGATAGACTGAAGCCGCGCTACCAGAGACGCCAAATAACCTGATAGCCTTTCAGCAGCATAGCCTTACACACCTCATTGATCTCCTAGCCGTTTCAGCACATGGGAGGGCATTTGCACATGTATGTGCTGGTGGCAGCAGAACGGGTACTAGTACTGGTGGTAACTGCTGTTACGGTTGGCAACATGGCAGCAGTACAAGCCTCATTCTCCGCACACCCTCATTTACCTCGTAGCTGTTCCAGCACATGGGCGAGCACTTGCACATGTACTGGTGGCAGCAGCGGTATCCACTATGCTGTGTAGGGAGTAGCATGAGCACCCTTTCAAACTGCCTGCCTTGACCATACAAGCCTGATTACCCGAATCACACCCTCATTTACCTCATAGCCGTTCCAGCACATGGGCGAGCATTTGCACATGTACTGGTGGCAGCAGTAATGGTAACGACTACGCTGGTAACCACTATGCAATGGTTACCACGCAACTCTCCTTCCCCTCACCTCGTAGCCGTTCCAGCACATGGGAGAGCATTTGCACATGTACTGGAAGCAGCAGTAATCATTGCGCACGCGGTAGCATGAGCATGTCGTCTGCTGCTGAGTCAGCGACGCCACGTCAGCATTTCTTTCAAGCGACGACAGCATCCTATTCACCTGGTTGGTGGGGATGTAGCGGACCAAGGAGGCAGAGAGAGGGAAAAACGGCGGATTAATGCACCCACAGAGGACGCACGCACGCACGGGGGCACGCAAGGGGCCACGCACGGGAGCAGGGGGGGGGCGCACGCACGGGGGCAGGGGGGGGGCGCACGCTCGGGGGCAGGGGGGGGGCGCACGCTCGGGGGCAGGGGGGGGGCGCACGCTCGGGGGCAGGGGGGGGGCACACGCTCGGGGGCAGGGGGGGGGCGCACGCTCGGGGGCAGGGGGGGGGCGCGCGCTCGGGGGTACGCAAGGGGTATCCAGTCCAGCGGACACGGAACAGAGGTGAACATGTTATATGTGATCTTTTAACGGTAATTCTACGTTAACAGAATCACCAGATCTGATCCAATACGATCCGATAGGATCCCACGTGACGGATTCGACCACCATCATCACGGCCTGAAACCCTTTCTGAGGCGAGCACGAAACTCGAATAAGTCTCTCCAAACGAACTGCATGAGGCGCTGTGCAGCAAACCATGATGAACAGCGCATTCAACCCCGGAGTCATGGTTTTCCCTTCAGTCCTTGTGCTCTCATCTCCGTTGCAAATCTCGACTACCGCTTCTGTCTCATGGTTCGCCTTAGTGGGCTCACAAGCCCTATTGGTCTCACGTCTCACAAACACTGAGTGTTCTCATCTCAGCGGATCCCATCCCATGCAGAATAATCCTATGCAGCCAGCCAGTCTATTATCCAGCTTTCACACAGCGTTTTATTGTTGTTCTTTCTTGATTTCGTTTATTTTGCATACTAAAAGTCTTGCATCTTGGTGAGGAGTTAAAAAAACAATTGGTATCCACTCAATCAGGTGCATTCTCTCAACTCGATAATAGTATTCGGTGCACTTCATGCCGGGTAGTGGTGTCGTGTGTGCAACTTTTGAGTCGCTTCAAAAGTTGAATCAAAGGAGTCTCAAGAGACGTCTCTAAAACTTCTGGTATCTCGCTCTGCTGAATAATTCACATGGCGTTACTAGGTTTCGTAGACGTATTAGCTGTTAACCCAATAGCGTCGTGATCTCGCCTATTGAGCCACTCTTGGTAGCTCCTGGAATGGGACGGAGTGGAGCCAAATGGAACGGAATGGGGCAGAATGTGTCCCCTTTCGCACCTCCAGTCGGAACATCGCACGGCACGTATGCCTCAGAATCATGCTACCTCATTGCAAGGATCATTGTTCTAATACTTCCGTGAGCACTCAAATGCCACTCAGACGCTGCTCAGATGTTGCACCGATTACTACGACCGTGAAGCCTGGAGTAGCACCGATTGACCAAACCTGACTCGAGCTGATACACCACACCAGGTCCGCTCTCGTGACACTTGTCACCCATGAAGGGCTCTCCCTTGAGCCTGCAGCAAGACTTGAGGCGCCTCAGGTTTTAAGGCGCCTCAAGTTCTTAGGCGCCTCAAGTTTAAGGCGCTTCAAGTTCTAAGGCGCCTTAAACTCTAAATCGAACCATGACGGGCTCTCACTTGAGCCTGCAGCAACCGATCCGCCCGCCTCCGTCGCGCCTCTCCCACTCTGGTCGCGCGCACCCCCACCGCGCCACTGTCACCGTAATGGCTTGTGGCGAGGAGCAGCACGAGCACCAGCGCGCACCACCCCCACCGCCGCCATGACCTAGTTGAATCAGTCGCTAAAGCGCGATTTTCCATCCTCGTAGAAGCTTTTGAAATCAGTAGTATCCGAGAAGCAGTATGGATAATTGGTACTCTGCGGAACTGCCGCCTTGACTGCGGAACCAGCAAGGTGCTTGTACTACCAGCAGGTGAGAGGTTCCGTGGGATCAACGGTACGTGGGGGGAGCGACGGCGTCTAAGCCCTAAAAGGAGATTGTTAAGAGCTTTCATAAATCAAGCGCAATTTCTTCCGGTGTGTGATTTGAATCGACTTTGATTTACACGCTGGGAAGCCATGGGGGATGCGCCTTTCTTCCGCATTCGCTCCTGCCGTTTGAGACGGCTCAAATGGGGAGACAAGCTGGGACTGGGACGCTCTGGGAAGCTCGATTGCCATGAGTCAACGTCCGCTGATTTGAGGCGCCTCAAATCTCGCCTGGGAAGGCCTGGGGCGATGAGTGGATCTTGCGCCGACTTTTGAGCGAGTGTGCTGAAAAGATCAGTTCTCGCCTTTCCGCCGCCTTGCATTCACTTATCACCCGTCTGCCGCAACACAGGAAAACCGGAAGCTATAGGGCTTCCCCCTTACCCATTGCTACTACTGGCGGAACAGACACACGGCGGAACATTTCTCGCTGTGAGTGACATGATGCGCAGGGCAGTGGGAGTACCTGCGGCTGGTGTTCGACTCATGCCGCTGCACACGATTTCCTCTCGCGTTCGGATCGGACTGGAAACCTGCGGTCCCGGACGAAGCCCCCGATGGCGCAGGATACGCGCATTCATGACAATTCCGCTGACCATGCTTGGCGCTTCCATGCTGGCAGAATCTCGAAGGCAGGACTCGCGTCGCGATGTTTTGGTTTGGTTGGACACGAGGGGACACCGACACACCAAGGTTACTTTGGAAGAGCCTAGCGGCCGACAGAGAGATGGCTCTGCTCAAATATCCAAGGGGGCCAAATGGGTGAGGCAGAGAGGGAGGGCCGAAGTGGAGTGGGATGGGATGGGATGGGATGGGATGGGATGGGATGTGATGGGATGGGATGGGGAGTCCCGTTTCTCGAGAAGACAGAGCAAGTGGGGGAAGGGGGAAGGAACGAGAGTTTTCACCCGCGCGGGTGACGCTGTCGGCTCGGGGGCTCAACTACACAGAATTGTTTTGTTTCGCGCATGCGTTTATTTTTCGTCGTCAGCGTGCATTTCGCCAAAATATACCTCTACCCAACCATCCATCATCCAGACAAAACGTTCTGCACCTACCAGAACGCACTGAAACGAGCTCGATATGACAAATCCTCATGTCACTAGGTTCGATAAATGTTTCGCACAGGACTCTATGTAGTCGCAGTCGCAGACCCGTCGGCCTCTCCTCCTCGCCCCAGCTTTTGCTTGCTAAGTGGGCGAATCTGCGTGCTACTTTCCTGTTGTGGTGGTTCCTTTACGGTCGCGGTATGCCATGCCCTCAGTACCTCACGTCTTCAGCAAATTAGTTCAGCATTTTCTCCAACCGCACAAGAAATTACGTTCTCAGGCGATTGAACACTGTGGAATTAAGAACAGCATCATAGTGTGTTTTTTGTGCGGAATTCGTGCGACAGCGGGTGGACATGGCCCGACCGAACACCTCAAGGATTTGGTGCGGGCGACGTAGCGTGGGTGGGGGTCGGTGGGCGGGGAGGGAAAGCCGACAGCAGCAGGCGATGACGTGAGTCTGTAAATATGAAATCGTTGAGACGTCTCGAAGTATGAAATCGTCGAGGCGTCTCGAAGTATAGCATTGTTGAAGCGCCTCTGCGAAACAAGCTGTTGCTGTACATCCCAAAAATGTTCTCCCCCGTACATAGTACTTATAGGTTCTGCTACAAGCAATTTACTCTATAAAGCTCCGTATCTACAATATAGCAGAACCTATAAGTACATAGTACGGGGGGCTAACAATTTTGTGATGTAAGCAATGGCGCGGCGCTGCGCCGAAGCAGCAATTAGTATTTTCCGAAAGAGGAGAGGCCGGCGCGTAGAGGAGAGAGCGGAGAGAGCGGCGCGGAGAGGAGAGAGCGGCGCGGAGAGGAGAGGAGAGGGCGGAGCATAAGAGGTAAACCCCCGTTACCCACTGGGTCAAAACATGGGGTGATATTTGAGGTGCAGCGGATAATGCCTTTAAACCCCTTCGTGTAAGCCCGCAGACGTTGCAGGAGAGGAAAAAGGGGCGGTGAACGAGGAAAGGTGCGGCGGAAAGTTGCGGCGGAAAGGTGTGGCGGAAAGGTGCGCCGGAAAGGTGCGGCTGGGATGATAAGGCGGTGAAGGAAAGGTGTGGCTGGGATGATAAGGCGGTGAAGGAAATGTCGAGCTGGCATTGACCCTCAGAAGATGGTCGTCGCTTTCTGCAGGGGGAGCGAAATTTCCGCCGAAGCGAATTCTGCGCCAAGGTCGAGGTGGAGCTCTGCAGAGGAGGGCGAATCTGCAGAGCAGATCGTGGTGCTGCAGAAGAGTGCGCATCTGCAGAAGAAAGCGCATCTGCAGAGATTTCGGAGCTGCAGAAGAAGGCGCGTCTGCAGAAACGAAATTCTGCAGAAGACCACAATCTCGACCGGCGAACCCTTCCGACGCGAAAACGCGATCGTTTCGGAACTTTTGCGTGGGAATTTCGGAACATTGCGGACATTGAGAAATTGACCCCGGGGAACAGTGCGCGGAACTAGGGTGTTCAATCTGGGGCGAAATTGAACCACCTGCACAGAATGAACCTGGCGCACGTTTTCGTAACTACGAAAACGTGCGTTACAGAAGTTGTTTAAAACAACCTGAACAGCTAAAACAAATACTTTTAGGTAGGTAAAAATTACCTACTAAGCACATGTTGTAGTTTTCACCTGCCGACGCTGAGTTGGCAAAGCGCAGCTAAAAGTAGTTATGTAAACGTTCTTGGGTGAACGTTCTCTGCATGGTTCATTGGTTGGGTAGCTTCTATTTCACCCCTTGTTGTATTCTATTTTCATTCTATTCTAGTGAATTTTTCTATGTGTGCCAAATCTATGCCTTTCTCAACACTTAGCCAATTTTCTCCTTAGTGAACAACAAAGTTTGCGTGGCTGCAGAGAAGCATTTCGTAGAGCTCCAACTCCCGTTAGAGCAGAAATCTCTGCATGGTGCGGTGAGCGTGGATCGAACACGCATAGAGCCCGTTCTTCTACGTTAGGTCTCAGTGAACTTAGCTCGTCGACATGGAGGATACTGAGGATATCATTGAGGGAATCGACAGTCTAAGTGAGCGGGAGGCTGCGGTGCTTGCTCGTCATGAAGTTGGAAACCTCACCGAGCAGGAGCTCAACTTCATGCTGTTGGGAGTACGAGCTCAATGGGAGATGGAACATCCACCGACTCGTGCAGAGGGAGACGAGGAATCGCAGACTTCTGGAGACGACGAGAACGCTGAAGAACCGGCGGAAGGCGGAATGCAGGAGCCACGAGGTGTTCTAGGACAAGGAGAACCGATGAGCCCTAGAGAAGGCTCGCAGCAGAAGGCGGATGCAAGTCCGAAGAAGGCGGCTGGCAAGGGACGCTTGGGCGGTCGAGGATCTGCAGTGAAGACTGGTGGAAGTTCGGCGGTTTCTCACCCATCGGCATCGAAAGACGGCGGAATTGCTCCTGATTACGGATACTTCA